CGTCATGGGCGCCCCGTTGTCTTGGGTGCCCTGAGTTTGAGGGGTGCCCCGTGTTCGCGGGGTGCCCCATGCCAGGGTCATGAGTGCCCCGTTTCTATGGATGCCCCGTGTTTGAGGGGTGCCTGTGCCTGCGGGGTGCCCCGTGCCGGGGTCATGGGTGCCCTGTTTTGATGAGTGCCCCGTATTTGCTGGGTGCCCCATGCCAGGGTCATGAGTGCCTCGTGTTTGCGGGGAGTCCTGTTGTGATGGGTGCCCCATGCCAGGGTCATGAGTGCCCTGTGTTTGAGGGGTGCCCCGTGTTTGTGAGGTGCCCCATGCCAGGGTCACGAGTACCCCGTTTCAATGGGTGCCCCATGTTTGCGGGGTGCCCCATGCCAGGATCATGAGTGCCCCGTTTTGACGGGTGCCACGTGTTTGCGGGGTGCCCCGTGTCAGGGTCATGGGTGCCCCATGTTAGGGTGGTGGCTGCTCTGTTTTGAGGGGGGTGCCCTGCTTTAGGGTGATGTGTGGCCCTGTGAGGGTCCCGGCTGAGCTGCGCGAAGGCAGGGACAGTGGGTGCCCCATTTTGGGGAGGGGGTGGTGGGCTCCAAAGTCAGGGTGATGAGTGACCCATGTTAGTGTCATGGGTGTCCCACAGTGAGGGGGGGTACGACATGTTAGGGATCTGGGTGCCCCACATTGGGGGCGCTGGGTTAGCTGATGGGTGCTCCAGGTTTGGGCGATGGGTGAGATGTCTGAGGGTGGCGGTGATGGGTGCCCTGTGTTGGGGTGACAGGTCCCCATGGGAGGGGTCAGTGGGTTCTGGAGGGGGCATTGGGGTCCAGCCCCACTGATGACCCCAGGACCAGGTGCGGCTCTTCCCAATCTTCACTTCTTTCACCAGGTCTGGCTGGGCCGAGGGACAGATGGGCGGTTTTGGGACAAGGATGGACAGAGGGACGCGGAGCCCCGTGGCGGGAGCAGAACGGCGGCCAAGGTTATTTTCAGGCGTCCGAGCAGCATCGGTGGCGCGATGGCACGCAGCGACAGCGCTATTCCGGAGCGCCGGAGCGCGGCAGGGGCTGCGGCGGGGGCTGCTTCCTACGTGCCGGAGCTCAGGCACGCTGGGAAGCGGCTCGGCCCCGGTTTGGAGCTCCAGGCCGGAGCCGGCCAGTTTTTCCTAGGGAGGAACAGAGCCCTGAGAGATGCTCACGCGGGTGACGTTTGCGTCTCGCTGCGTAAGAGGTGCCTGTGCCCAGCCACGCGCTGGCGCGTCCCCCGCACGACGGGGCTGGCGGGGGTTTCACACAGCTGCTCCGCGCGGCCACAAAGATTTTAGGCTGGGGAGGAAGCTCCCTTTTGTCTGCTGGCTTTGACGCAGCTGGAGGCAAAGCGGTGCTGAATATTCACGATTCTTTGCAGCGAGCAGATGTGCTGGGTTGTGCACTTGTGCTGGCTGGTAAAACTTCAAACCCCGCTCGTCCCCTGAGATAAATGCACTGAAAAAGCTCGGCGATGTGTCCACAAGCTGGGGGGGACCGTGGCGGGCTCCACGGACCACGGGAGGCACAAGCAGCCCATGAGAAGTTTGCAGGAAGGTCGGTGCCTCGGTTTCTCCAACTGTAAGATAGACCGAGGGGACCCCCATCCCTGGCGCCTTTTGCAATGGATGACAGTGCCACGAGGGACACAGCCAAAGAGAAAGGGCCCCCAAAGTCCATTCTATGTAGTGATGCAGAAGGAGCCTTGGCGAGTTGCCCCCACTGGAGACATTGCCGAGCTGCCAAAAATTCCCCAGAGCTGGAGGTGAAGGTGCAAGAAGGGCCAAAGAGCCAAGGGGCAGCTGCAAACGGTCCCGCTGCCGAGGAGGAGCCTGGCGAGGAGGTGCCAGGCGGAGAGCCCCGGCTGCCGGCAGCGTTTGGAGCATCTCCGGGCTAGAAGAAACCTCTGGAGGGAAAACCTCCGGGAACGCAGCCGGGCTGGGTGGAAGAGGCGCTCCGTGCCGCCAGCGCCTCGAAGCTTTCCGTGCAAGCCGTAAATTACGTGTGGAGTTCAGCTGGGTGGGAAGACATCCTGCTCTGCGCAGGGTGGTTTTGGCTTGGGGACTTTTCTCTGCTCATTTCGCCAGGCAAGGGCTCGTTTCGAAACGCCCATGCGGGGAGGGGGGCTGCGAGGGCAGCGGTGCAGACACTGGCGGGACATCTCCGTCTTCCCGGACGGAGCGGCCTTCCTGGGCGGAGTGCGGCCGGGCAGCTGGCCAATGCCAGGGAGCAAGTCTCTCCGCAGGGATTTTTCCAAGCAGGAGTGAGCCAGGCAGGGCTGGGATCCCACCCGACCCATGGACTCTCACCCGACCTGGCTAGGGAGAAAGGCGAAACTGAGGCAGGGAGTGAGGAGGCCCCTCTGCGGGATGCACTTTGGTGCTGTTCCCATTGGTGGGGCTTGTGTTCCCATTGGAATTCCCAATATCAGAGTGGTGATTTATTGTGGTGGAGAGGGAGGACAGGGCACTAACAGAGGCTGCTGGGGGCTCTTCCCGCTCCAACCGCACCTGGAACAGGGATAAGCTACCTGGACCCTCCCAGCAGCTCCAGCACCGGGATGCAGGGATGCTTGTGGCCTCCCACCAGCCATCCTGGAAACCCTGGGACGTGCCCGGCCTCAGCACCGAATGATTCAAGCTCCAGCAGTGCCCACGAGAGGGAATCGGAGCCATTTCTCCCTTGGCAAAGCAGAGCTCTGCTAGAAACCGCCCCAGCAGGGCAGGGAGGGAGCCAGGAGACGGGATCCCCCCGGTGCTGAGCTGTGGGCTCAAACGTTCCCAAGGTTTTGGTCCTTCCCATGACCATGGAGGCTGCAGTTCGGCAGTCCTGCTCTGACCTCAGCTTCCTCTGGAGCTTGGGGCTGCCGAGCCGCCCGGATGATCCCTTCCCTCCATGGCAAGTCCCAAAATATTAAAAGAGGGCTTGGAAAATCATTTGGGCTCATTCGACAAGACTGGGGAATGAATTGTCCCTTTGGGCAGGGGCAGTTTGCTGCCCTGAAGCAGCAAACGGAGCTCAGCCACATTCCAACTTTCGGGGAGAGAAGGGAAAACCAGGAGGTTTTCCTAGAGGCAGAGGCCTGTCGAGCTCTGCTGCCCACCTGATTTCTCAGTGACTCAGTTCGTCTCCCTAAACCAGCCCAAAACTAGCGGCTTTTGCAACTTCAGTTGCTTTTTATCGGCGTCGCAGGGGCGGCTCGGGCCACACAAGGGCTTTGCCCGCAAGCTGATTAGACACCGACCTAACGAACTCAAAGAGAATTCTTTAAACGCAGCCTGCTGGGCCTTGGAGGACTCCTGCCATGTCTATTTATTTAAATTTAATGGAATTTTTGTGGTAAGCTAATTAAATAGGAATTGATTATTTAAGGAGCAGCCAGGGCGGTTTAAGCACTGCTGACTTGATACATTTGCTGTTTTCTTTATACAAATGTTCCTGGTTATGTAGCTTTGCGTACGTCCGTCCATCAGAGGGGAAAAAGAGGATGGAAAGGAAACGACGACGGCGTCTGGACCTGGGCTCGGAGGGAACTCGGGACGAAGTGCCACCCGCCGCGTCCGTGGCACGAGCAGCAAGGATGGGCCAGGAGCGTCCGCTCCGGACGAGCCCGTGGAGCTGCAGACGGGTGTCTCGGTGCAGAACCGGCTCCGCGGGGCCGAGCTGGGCCCCGGCGCAGGATCTGCTCCATGCAAAGAGACAGCCCGGACTCCCGGCGCGAGCTGGGGTGCCCTAGAGCTCCCGTTCCCCGCAAAAGGGGGAGGCAGCTCCAGGTTTCCTTAGTCCTCGTTTTTTTCTTGCTTTCTTCCACTGTGAGAGGGGCTGGGCGCTGCTCTGCTCTGCTCCTCCCAAGGCCCCCATCGCTCCGTCATCGGCCCTGGGACCAGGCAGCCTTCAGATTTTGGGGATCCCTATTCCTTCAGGCCCCTCTTGATGCACTTGCTGTTTTATGGGCTGAAAACTACTTAAAAATCACCTGATGGAGATGTCTAGAGGCGAAGCCTTCACCAATGGCTGCCTCAGGGGGCAAAAATCCCCTGAATTAGTTGAAATGGGCTGAGCTTCAGAGCCCGCCCGCAGGCAGCTCCCTGGCTTTCCCCAGGACCTCGCTCTCTGACCCTGCTCTTCCCGGTGCTTTGCAATCGGCCCTGTTTTCCGCACGGGGGCAGCGGGGCCGCGTGGCCTTCCCTGTCCCCATCCGGCTGGTGGCTGAGCAGGAAAAGAAAAATAAATCCAGGTTTGGGTGCCGCTGGCAGCAGGATCCCACCCCTCCTAGCCCGCTGCGCTGGCACGTGCCCAAGGCAGGTTCCTGCTGGGCTCTCTCGCTCTTTTTCTGCTCTGGCTCTGTTTTGCCCTGTGTTCAGCCAAGCACACGCAGGGAGCCGGTGCTTTTCCCGCTGGGAAGGCAGGTGCAGGAGCCCGGGCCATGTGGGAATGTGCGGGAAAGCGCCCCTGGAGATGCCTGCGCAGGCGCCAGGTCCCAGGAGGTCTGGGCTGATGGTCGCGCCCTGATTTCCAGCAATGGAAAATGAAGGAACTCAGAGGATTGTGCGCTGGTGCTGAGACGGGCGGCCTCAGCAGTGTTTCCCCACGCCTGTCTCTCCGGGCCAGCACCCCATGGCACTCCCATTGCACCCATCCGGGCCACCAAGCCACCGGCGTCCCGCTGCCTTGTGCTGCTGTCCTCCCTCCCGCCTCCCTCCCTCATGCTCTGGTCCAGCTCTGAGCTCTCAATAAAAGTGGATGAGGCCGATACGGGGCCCAGTGGGGTGACCCACGTGTGCCTCGGGGGTCCCCAAGCAGGTGTCACGGCCAAAGTGAGATGCTGGAGCCTGGACCAGCCATCGCAGCCCTCCCTGCAGGCAGTCGGGCTCTCCGGAGATGGGATCTGGGCTCCCGGGATGCTCCCTTACATTGAAGTTTTTGGTGCTGCTCCTGCAACCCTCGATCACACCTGATCCACGCTAGACGG